TGCCACAAATTTGTTAAAATTTCCAAAGGGTGCCGTGACTAAAAAAGGTTGGGAAACACTGGTCTAACCTACTAGACTTCATCACATAATGTATTTGTGCACTCTGTAGGAGTGTTTTGTTTAGTTTCTGTAATGTACTCGATCATGTCAAATTGCACATCAAAACAACAATTACGATATTATCGCAGATGATATATATCACACACCCTACATGCTGGACACAATTACATGGTCTTATACATCTATTTTGTAACCAATTCAAATGTAACCATAATGAAATGCTGTTATTAATCCATTTCAGTTATACATTTTGTGCTAACTAGTCTTGATTCAACATTAGCATTGAAGTGCTGTATAGTTCAATACAATATAGTCACATAATAGCAGTGATCTTCCTCAGATCCACACTGGAGAGAAACCATACACATGTGATCGGTGTGGCAAGACATACAGACAATCATCACACTTTAAGATGCACATGAACATCCACACTGGAGAGAAACTGCATGAATCTGATCAATGTGGAAAAACATTTTTGTGGGCTTCATACCTGAAGAATCACCTGAAAGTTCATTCAGAGAAGAAAACACATTCATGCTCTTTCTGTGGAAAGAGTTCTTCAGTTTAAAAGCACATCAGAAGATACACACTGGTGTGAGAGAATATATGTGCTTTGAGTGTGAGAAGACTTTTATTACAGCTGAAGATTTTAAACTGCACCAGAGGATCCACACTGGAGAGAAACCTTACATGTGTTCACACTGTGAGAAGAGAACAAGAGATCCAGGAGACCTGAAGACACATGAAAGCATTCACACTGGAGAGAAACCTTACACATGTGATCAGTGCGGGAATGCGGGAAGACAAAAATCACACCTTAAGGACAACATAAAAATCTACTATGGGAAGAATCAGCACAAGTCAAGCTTTATTGTCATTCTGCTACATGTGTGGACATACAGTGGAACGAATATGAATACAGTGGAACAAAAATGACCATTGAACTCATCAGTGATCTTGACTTTGGGGTTTTCATCACTTTTCATATTTACAATTGTCCCTCATTTGAAATATCACTTGGTTTAATGTTTCTTTTAGACCTGATGGACGTGAAGTAGAAAGGAAAAACTTCAGCCAAAAAAATGTCACCTGCCCTC